GTGGAAGGGAAGGGGCGGGCCCCCCGACGCCGCGGGCAGATGCACCCCTGGGGAGGAGAGGGAGAGCCTGCGTTGTTTCCACAGCTGCCCATGGTGTCTGCTGCGGCTCTGCTGGGGGATGGCAGGGACGGCCCGGATGCTCTTGGTGCTGCTCTGCGTCTCCGTGCCCCGCGCTGCTACCAGTGAGTGTGCTGCTCGCTTCCTTCCCGACTTAGCCGGCCCTGGAACGCGTGGCAGGGGGCATCATCCCGGAAAAGTACACAGTCAGTGTCTGGGAAGGGACCCGGGGGAGGATGACGCACGGCGTTTTGCTCTGGGAGCGTGCGCTACTGGTGGGGAGCAGGCAAAGAAGCGGGCTGTGGGGTGTGGATGTAGGACCCTGGGGCTTCAGCTGCCCGGTGTCAGGGTTAATCCTCGGGAGAGGGTGCAGTTGGGAAGGTGAGCCTCACTGGACAGAGCGGGTCTGGGCGCAGGCTGGCTCCCCACTCACAGCCTCCCACCTTGCTCTTCTGGGGGCGTGTCCCCCAGGCACCAGCTGATGGAGGTGCCCTCCCAGAGCCTGGTGCACGTGGGAGCCAGGCCCCTCCTGCGTTTCTACCGCAGCAAGGCTATCCCCAGGAAGACTGTTATGATTCCATCTTATGATTCCATCGAGAGCACGCTGCTAAACCGACCCCAGTGCAGGGCTGGGCCTGGGAGGGAGCCAGGAGGGGCCTTGGGGCAGCTGCAGTCCCCTCCCTGACCTCCAGGTTGTCCAGGACTAAGCTTCCAGCCTAGGAAGGGGCAGATAGAGGGGGCCCTAATGAAAGCAGGCCCTGCCCACCTTGCTGCCGCCAGCAGGCTCCGCCCTGTCTTCCTGCAGTTGGGTGGGTGACAGGAGAGAGCCCCCCCCCATGCACACATCCACAGAACTCCCCACCTTCCGGGCCTGCTTCACCTCCCTGCGCCCCAAGGAGACCAAGGGGTGCCCACAAAACACAGAAAGGGCTGCTCACGCCTCAGGCAAGGGACCCAGGGCCAACATTTCATCTCTGAGTCAGATTTCCTCATTGTATCCTGGCCTTGCGAGGGTTTTACAAGGTCGAACGAGCTAGCCAACTAGAGCTTTGAAAAAGCAGAGGGCACCACGCCCTGTGGGTTCATGCTGGGTGAGGGAGGGCTGGCTCGTGCCTCCGTCACCGCAGACTGCCAGCGTCCCGTGGGGAAAGTGGGATTCCTGACCAGGTGATGGTAAAGGACTTAGTGGCCTTAGAGACGTCATCTTGCCAACAGCCTGCCCAGTGTCCCAGTTTCAGTTCATACAGGTGTTTGGTCACCGGCTGCCCTATCGTGGGGAAGGCTGCTGTGGCCCTTTAATGACAGCACCAAACATTACCATCGACTTCAGGGTCACGGTCTGGAGACTCAGTGTTCAGGGCTGGCCTCAGAGGCCGCCCCCGCGGGAAGCAGCCCTCCCAGCCTGCGTGCTCTGGGCAGAGCTCCGGGCACACGCCCCTGTGTCATGAGTCTCTCTGTACAGCTATGACGCTTCAGTGACCGTCTCCCCAGGCCCTGTGCCCTCGCCCGGGGCCCACGGGATCCTGAGATCCTCCCCTGCAAGCCCAGCCCCCGGCTCAGCGTGTGGCAGGGCGGTGCGTGTGGGGGCTCAGCGTGTGGCAGGGCGGTGCGTGGGGGGGCACGAATGGCTGAAGCAGCAGCCACCAAATGGTGCGGCCCGTGGTAGATGCATGGTACCCGTCACGTGACATCTGTGACTCAAGGCCACGGATGTAGAAAGAGGCCCGGGGCGCTCGGGGTTTGGGATGTAAAAACAGCAACCAGAACAGTGGGGAGAGAAGAGTAATAATCCGTTCCGCCCTTGGGTTTAGCATTATCAGTCACGGGATGCAATTTGGGAAGCACTTCCCCATAACCTCACCTCACGTGATCTTTACAACTCCAAGGGGAGTGCTACCCCAGGTTTCAGAGCAGGAAACAGAGGCCCAGAGAGGGGAGGTGGCTTGCCCCAGGTGTCACCGCATAGGGACCAGCTGGACTTGGGACACTGCGTCCAGGACCTTCCCAGAACACTTGTGGTTCTGCACCCAGAACAACACATTGGAATCTGCCTGGGAGCTTTTTTTTTTTTTTAAAGGTTTCATTTATTTATTTTTAGAGAGAGGGGAAGGGAGGGGAAAAGAGAGGGAGAGAAACATCAATGTGTGGTTGCCTCTAGAGCTCCCCCTACTGGGGACCTGGCCCGCAACCCAGGCATGCGCCCCGACTAGGATACGAACTCGTGACCCTTTGGTTCGCAGGCCAGCACTCAATGCACTGAGCCACACCAGCCAGGGCTGCCTGGGAGCTTTTTTAAAAACGCCGGTGCCCCGGCCCAGGAGGGGCCCTGCGGTCTGGTGCGGTGGTGGGGGCCACGGGCCACAGACTGCTCGCCCCAGTAGTGAGGCCCCCCCGCACACTCCCTCCGCAGGCTGTGGCGTCCAGAAAGCCAGTGTCACAGAAGACTCTGAGGAGGGTTTGGTGAGCGAAAATGAGTTCCCATGGGTGGTGTCCCTGCAGGATTCCCACCACACCCACCTGGCTTTCGGCAGCATCCTCAGTGAGTTCTGGATCCTCAGCATCGCATCTGCCTTTCAGCACAGGCCAGTACCCGCCCCCCCCCGCCCCCCCTCCCCGCCCCTGGGCTGGCGCTGCCCCCCTGGGGCTGGACTGGGGGGGGGGGCGGGGCTCTCTTTCCCGCTCAGCGTGGGGCGGCCTGAGGTGGGTTCCTGGCCACACGGTGGCAGGGAGGGCTTTCTACCGGCTCGGTGCTCGCTTGGCCGTCGAGTGCTGGGGTCCTGGGGTCACCAGATGCCGAAGTCGGAGCCGTCTGGCGTCCTCGTCTGCGAAGCGAGAGAGCGGCCGCTCCAGCCCCTGCAGGAAGGACGTTCCTTCCCACGTCGCTGTGATCACAAGGGCCCCGGCACTGAGAGGGCCCCTTGTCTGAAAACACGCGCCTCGGGCCTCAGCGTCGTGACCGCCACGCGTGTGCGCTGCGTGGAGAGAGAAAGGGCTTGAAGGAAATACGCAGATACTCCAAGGGCGCTTGTCTCTCATGCTCAGGGGCACACGGGCGTGCCTCTTTGAACGTCTCCGGGTTTTCCAAATTCCTTACGGTACATGTGCATTCTTTTAAACCAGAAGGAAAACGCCCACAAAATGTTATTGAAGGAATCACTTTTCTTTGCGAGACATCTTACTTTTTGGCCCAATGATATCACTTTTGGGAAATAATTTCAACCGCTGGAAAAAAAGTTTTATGCACAAAGTTGTTCATAGGATGGTTCATAGGCAGAGCACTGGGACATAATGCACCATTGTCAGGGATAAATGAATTATAGTGTGTTATTCCTTTATATAGCACATACAGTATAAATTATGTGATATAGTCTCTAAATAGTGTATACAATATACAGTATGTTGAATATGATATATTTATATATGTAAATACTATTTATACACAATTTTATATTTGTGTTTGTGTGTATATACACACAGAGTATGGGGGAAAGAGGGTAATTACTGTAACTGGCAAAAACAAATTTTGGGATAAATCTACAATAGAATATTGTGCAGCTGCTGAATTTTTGAATATGTCATTTTTATTTTTTTAATTAAAAATACACATATTCAAATGAAAATACATGTACAAAGCATCATGGTCATGAGGAGCCAAAGGGTTTCCGAGGAAAGGCGGCCCCTCCCTTCCCGGGACTTCGTTCCTGCTCTCCCTCCCGGCAGCTCGGTCCCCAGGTTCCGCTCCGCACGCCGAAGGGTCTCCCTGCGCCTCTCGGTCTGCGTTTGTTGACTCTTTTACCCACTGACAGCGGGAGGACTTTCTTTCCCTCCTGGATGAGTCTGCCAAATGCCACGGACAGGGTGGCAGAGACAACGGAAGTGCATTACTGTTCTGGAGGCTGGAGGTCCGAGATCAAGGTGCCGCCAGGGGCGGTCTCTCCCGAGGACTTGCCTCGGCCTGCAGTCGGCCCCTGCTCACTGCGCGCTCACAGGGCCCTTTCTCCGTGTGCGCGCGCCCCTGCGTCCCGGGCTTTGTAGACGGGGCGTCCTCCGCCGCTGCCGTGTCCAACGGTGAGGTCGGTGAGGTCGTCCTTGGAGACGGAACCCGTCCTCATCACGAAGAGCCTTTGGTCGTGTTCCCGCTCTTCTGCTGAGGTTCAGGATGAAACTCCTGCTGCTTATTGTCACTGAAGGTTGTGTTTTTTGTTTTTATTGCTGCTTGTTTTTGTTTTCATTCCGTGGCCTTTGCTTTGTATGTCTCCTCTGACAAATTTGGCAAGTTTGAATTCTTGCTGTGGGTGCATCTCAGAGCTACAGTCGCACGGAAGATGCATGGTCCTCTTTCTCTCCGGATCGTCCTCTCTGGCCTCTGCTGTGGCCAGGGCCGGAGCTGCTCCTCCGCACCTCCGCTCCTCCTCCTCCGTCGCCCGGCTTTCATGGGTCTGCGTGGGCTTCAGGCGTGATCGCGCATCCTCGTCCCTGCGTGTGGTAGCTACGCAGCAGTCACCTTTGGACTCCCACGGAGGATGAGGAAAACACCTCTGGCTTCTTTTTCGGCTTTAGTTAGACCATCTGATCCTTGCCTAGGTTCACATTTGTACTCCCATCTAAATTCTTAAACGTTCTTGTGTTAGTTTAATCTAATATTATAATGAATTCCACACTTACTGGCAGTGTTTTTGCTGGATTTTCTCCATTCAGCACTAGAATTGGCTAAATTTGTCTTCAAGTAGTTTCTTTTTTTTATAAAAAAGATTTTGTTTATGTATTTTCAGAGAGAGGGGGAGGGAGAAAGAAAGGGAGAGAAACATGGGTGTGTGGCTGCCTCTTGCGTGCCCTCTATGGGGGACCTGGCCCACAACCCAGGCCTGTGCCCTGACTGGGAATCCAACCGGTGACCCTTTGGTTCGCAGGCCAGCACGCAATCACTGAGCCACACCAGCCAGGGCAAATAAATAAAATCTTTTTTTAAAAAAAGATTACATCTTTGATTTGACTACAACTGTGTAAAAAAATAAACCGACTATGCGCAGAAGAAAAGACAATCAGCCGCAACATAACAGACTGTCTCGAGGCGGAGGGACGGAGGGTGCTAAGATAAAAGAGTCCCCAGGGTTCTGTGGGCCCACAAAGAAGGGCACACGCCTAGGGGTTCAGATAAGGTTTCCTGGGGCTGGGCCCAGGGGGTGAGTGAAATCTGGCCCAGGGAAGAGGAGTCGGATGCGTTTGTTCCGGGCTGACTAGGTAGTGGATATGAGACGGGCTCGGGTCGAGCGGCCCTGGAGCCCGGGCCCCTCAAGGTTCCCGTGCTCCCTGCAGGCAGTTCGCCGTCGCCGTCGTGGGCATAGCCAGCATGGATGCCAGAGTGCTCTCCCACGAAGAGTACCCAGTCAGCACCATCATCCTCCATGAGGACTTCGACGAGGTGACGATGACCAATAACCTGGCCCTCCTGAAGACAGACACGGCGATGCAGTTCAGCGGCCTGGTCCGGTCCGTCTGTTACCTCGGCACAAAGCTGCACGTGCCGCTGGCCCTGCGGAACTGCTGGGTGGCAGGATGGAACCCCACGTTTGCAGTTAGTGCCTTCCTTCCCCGAGGGGGGCTGTGTGTGTGTGTGCTGTCCGTGGCTGCGGGGTGACGTGGGTGAGCCGTCGGGGGCTTGTCTCAGGCAGGCGAGTGGTTCGAGGTTCTCGAATGGGGCTGGAGGCCTCCCCTAATCCGTGCAGATTCCCAGTGCTTGCCCCTCCCTCGGCCACACTTACCTTTGGTCCTCCTTCTAGTCCGGCACCAGGACTGGAAGAACGTGGGCAGCTGACAGCCTCAAATTAGTGCAAGGGCATATATAGCAGGGCCGGGATGTCATTCCCTGAACTGGAGGGAATTGTTCTCTCGTCCACGCCATCCTTGTTTTCTCTTATTCTTGGGAAGTAAACAAGGAAATGCATCCTCTGTAGATGTCGAGATAGGATGAATATGTTCTCTGCCTATATTCACAGTCAAGTTCGAGCAGAGGTCATTTTCGTAAAATCTCAGAACACGTAGAAATCGGTGTTCTGATTTCTGGGAGGACCAGGGGCTCCTCCAGCGAGTTTCTCCTCACTCCCATCTGGACATGTGAGTTGTAGCTGCGCTGACCTGGGGGATGTCTTCTTGTTAACGGTTCTCGCGCTCTCTGTTGCACGGTCCAGACAGGGAACCAGATGACGATGAGTATCCTGAGGAAAATCTCCATGAAAGACCTCGACCAGTGTCCCTTCCCCACTTTCCAGAAGACAGGATGTGGCGATCACATGGCGGAGGAGACGGATAGCGTCTGCTTGGTAAGAGCGCGGCGGAGTGGGACCCCACGCTGAGAGCAGGCCGTGGTCACTTGGAGGGGTGGTGAGCTCACGAGCGCAGGACCGTCTCTTGAGATTCGTGGCCGTCTGAGGTGGACAGCACTTGGCAGCTGGCCAGCGCTCAACAAAAACCTGCCACGTGGACCGCCCTTTCCAGTGTAACGTAATTAAGCAATTCCACTTTCAAACTCAGGTGACCTGCCAGGGTCACGTATCCAGCTCAGAGTGCCAAGCTTCTCCCCTCTTATCTGAAGTGAGATAAGGTCTTCGAGTCAGAATCCCTGAGTCCCCGAGGACTGCTCCCGCGGGAGCAGGGAATGCTGGGAGCAGGCGCGGTGGACAGGTGGCTACCCCGGGGAAGCGCTGTGACCCCGGTCCCGTGCCTGCTCCTGGGGCAGTGTGACTGTGGGTGGGCGGGAGCAGCTTGAAGGAAGGGTGGAGACAAGACAGAGAAGAGAGGGAGAAATGTGACCAGTCCCGGCCAGAAAGGGAAGGAACATCAGCGTTAGAGGAACGAGAAGCCGAAAGAGGGAGAGGGCCTAGACCAAGCGCTGGAAAGGGCAAGACGATGACATGGGAGCCGGGGAGCCACAGGCCGACTGCAGAAGTCTACAGACATTTGTACAATGAAAGGAAAAGTCACTGTGTTGGAGTCTGCAGTGGTAGCTGCCTAGATGGGAAAGGGTAATCCTAGACAGACTTGTAGCTAGAGAGCAGATGACAGCTGAGGGAGGGGGAGGTTAGGGGGTGGAGGGGTTGAGCAAAAGGACTCATGGATGTGGATGACAGCGTGGTGATTGCTGGGGGGTGGGGAGGGGGACATAAGGGGACTAAAGGGTGATGGAAGAGAAAATATAATAAGGAAAAAAAAAGTATTCTATCATCTCTCCCAGTTCCAGCGAGAACCAGTGCAAAACATTTCGAGTAAATCACATAGGTATGTTTAAAGAGAAGCATTTTTTTGGACTCGAAGCCTTCTGCCCTTTGTCACAGGGGGACCCTGGAAACCCACTGATGTGCCAGCTGCAGAAGTCGTATCTGTGGGTGCTGAGAGGAATCCTGACCGAAGGGGGCGAGCGGTGCCCCGGCCTGTTGGTGTACGTCAAGGTGGAAGACTACAGCGACTGGATCGAGTCCAAGACCAGGACGTCCGGCCTGCCCCTGTCTGCCGTGTACCACTGGGAGAATTCGGTGCCTGTCCACGGTGACTCGCCGCTTGCCACCGTGGCGCAGAAAACACATTCCGGGCTGGGCCAGGTTACGTGGACCGAGACTCAACTCCAAACACGAGAGAGCACCACGGCCGTGACTTCAGAGCCAGAAAACACCTCCGAGGAGAGCGAAGAGTCGAGGGGGGAGGAAGTGAGGGAGACGAGCAGCCTCTCCGAGGCGGCCGGGGAGGAGGCCACGCAGCCCGAGTACTTTGACTATTACCGGGAGCAGCAGGCTGGGGAGGGCGGGGCCCTCTCGGGTCAGGACAGGTTACCGGAGCCCCGAGAAATGGTCCTGTTTGCCTTCGTGTTTTCTTTTGTCATGGTGTAGAGCCTGGGGGCCGGCCCTCCAGACTGGAGAGCAAGCTCAGGATGGCGGGGGCCAGGCATTCACCGCGCTGTGTCGGTGTCTGTTTCTGATCGCCGCCCACCCGGGCAGCCGCGGGCAGGCCCGTGGCTCTCCCTCCTCCGTCCCACTCGCCCACGCGGGACGGTCACTTTCATTTGTGCTCGTGAACTAAATGTAGGCTAACGAGTGAAACCGTTCGAGTGCCCTGTGGTTCTTTCAGGGTGAGGGACCTGGGGGCCAGGCGGCGAGGACACCTGGCCCGCACAGGCAGATGTGGCCTGGGAGGCGGCCGTCAGCCTGGATGGAGAGTCGGGGACACCGGCCAGCACGGGGAGCAGTGAGAGGACCCTGAGACTAGGATGGAGTTGATTGTTTTAATGGATGTCCTCTTGGTCTGCAGCCGGGGCCTCCCTCTGGCTACTTCCCGGCGGAGCCAATGGCCAGCAACTGCTCACTGGTGGTTTTCATTTTATTCCAGTCCTTGCGGTAGCCTTTTAAGGACATCTGCGAGAAGAAAAGGGGGGGGGGGGTCACTTGGGAAAAACCCGATCGTGACGACTCTGAACGCAACCCCATCCAGCCTGGGGATGGCGCTCTGCACACTGCAGGGCGTGGCCACCTAGGGGCGCCTGGAGGCGTCTGCCAAAGAGCTTGTTTCCGTCCAGTGAGGTGAGAAGCTGCAGGTTCCTGCCGTGACCCTTTGCTGCTTCTCCACTTCCGATCTGATGGGCCCGAGTTTGGGTCCCAGTCGACTCCCTGCTCCCTCCACGTGGGGACGCGGAGCCAGGGCCCAGACGCGGAAGCGCCATGCTACGTGAATGGTGCCTTAAGTGCACTAGGGGGCAACCTGGCCACCCCCCCCCCCCCCCCGCCCCGTGGCAGTCTGTGCTTCCCTTTTCTCTGATGCCAGCACATTTTTGCACTGTCCCATTTCTCTTCCACAGCTCACGCGGGCTACAGTGCTTCCCTGCACACTGTATCACAGGGAAAGGCTTCGGCATTAGTCAGAAACCAAAAGACCTATGGCACCTATGTAAACACATGGAATCAGGCTCTGGGTGATACTAAAAATCCATTATTGTCTCAGTGTTTAAAAAACTGGCTTCAAGCCCTGCCTGGCGTAGCTCAGTGGATTGAGCTCGGGCTGTGAACCAAAGTGTCTCAGGTTTGATTTCCAGTCAGGGTACATGCCTGGGGTTGCAGGCCATGACCCCCAGCAACCACACATTGATGTTTCTCTCTCTCTCTCTCTTTCTCCCTCCCTTCCCTCTCTAAAAAATAAATAAATAAAATCTTAAAAAAAAAACTGGCTTCATGTATAGAGTAGCAATCACTAAATGATGGGCAGAAGGATTAAGAAGCTTCCAGAATTCACCCTGGCTGGCGTAGCTCAGTGAATTGAGCACAGGCTGCGAACCAAAGCATCGCAGGTTTGATTCTCAGGGCACATGCCTGGGTTGCAGGCCATGGCCCCCAGCAACTGCACATTGATGTTTCTTTCTCCCTTCCCTCTCTAAAAATAAATAAATCTAAAAAAATTAAAAAATAAGTGGTTTGTAAGACTGTTGAGGGCCACGGGCTGAATTCACCATGTATAAAAAGTTTAAAAAAAAAAAAAAGCTTCCAGAATTCATTATGAAAGCAGGGAACTAAAAACACACCATTACTACAGAGTCTCTTCTGATAACATGACAAGACCTCGCCCCTAACAATGAAAAAGAAGGTTTAAAAAAGTCATGCTTTACTTTGGTTGTAAGGGTTGAGACAACTGCGGCTGTCTCATGTGCAAACAAACACCTGTATCCTCAGCTTGAAAAACAAAATCCCAACAAAAACATGAAGGCCGTGAAAGACCGACCGCCTACCTGGGGCTTCTCCGTGACTTACCTCTGCAATCTCCACTTTCCTCTCCCACACTTTGATGGTCTTCTCCAAGTCTCCATTGAGGACCTTCTCCCTGACATACTGCATCACCGGCGGCACCCGGAACTCGCTCAGCTGCCTGCGGAGCTTCTTGTTCATAGCCTCGTCTTTGGCCCGGTCCTGGGTCGGGAAGGACCAGTTAGACCCCAGGGTCCCCGGTGCTTCGGGCCTGCGGGGACTCACCAGCCCTCCCGTCTCTACCCATTTTCAGTGTAGTTCTGAAGACAGTGTTTAAATTTCCAAAGGAGTGAAGGGAATCACAGAATTCTGATTCTTTAGAAAACATTGTGATGTTTTCTTCCAGTTTAGAAACACTAACTATAACCTAAAAGTCTCTTTTCCATTCCTTCCTTCTTTCCTTCCCTCCTTCCTTCCTTCTTTCCTTCTTTCCTTCCCCTTCCTTCTTTCCTTCCTTCCCTCCCTCCTTCCTTCCTTCCAAACTAGGTTTTATTTATGTTGATCTCTTAGGTTTGGCTTTTTCTTCTTTTCGATACAATTATATATTTAAGTACCTTTTGATTTGATCTGTCTCAATTCACTTTCCTATTTCTTTTTGTTTGCTTGTTTTTGTAACAAATCCACATTAAAAAAATAGCACAAGTAAAGGTAATTATGTGGTCATTCTTTATAAAAGACAGTATTCTCTTAACTGATTGAAGAAGCAATTCATAAAGTAATGTGCGTATAATTGTACCAGGGACCTGTAAGTATAAAGATGTAGTATATTTGACAACAACAGCCCAGAGGAGGAGGCTGAAACGAAGCTGTGTTGGAGGAAAGAAATAACCCCGGAAGGTCACGCCAGTCCACAGGAGTACATGGAGAGGATGGTAGATGGTAACTAGGAAGGTCAGTACAACACACTCTGGAAATAGACTCCGTCCCCTTCCTTCCTCCAACTTCTGGACCCCTTCCGCACACTGTTTACAATATTGACTCAGAATGGACCATAAACCTAAATGTAGGACCTGTAAAACTCCTGAAGACATGGAGTAAATCTTCACAATATTCAGCTAGGTAATGATTTCTTAGCTATAACACCAAAAGCACAAGTGCAAAAGAAAAAAAATAAATGGATTGGACTTGATCAAAATGAAAAACTTTTGTGCTGCAAACAGCAAGTACCATTAAGAAAGCGAAAAGAAAACCTACAGAATGGGAGAAAATACAGGCCGGGGCAGAAGTAGGTTTATAGCCCTGGCTGGTGTGGCTCAGTGGATTGAGTGCCAGCTTGCGAGACAAAGGGTCGCTGGTTCGATTCCCAGGTAGGGCACATGCCTGGGTTTGGGGCCAGGTCCCCAGTAGGGAGTACATGAGAGACAACCACACATTGATGTTTCTCTCCCTCTCTTTTTCCCTCCCTTCCCCTCTCTAAAAAATAAATCTTTTTTAAAAAAGTAGGTGTACAGTTGTTTGTATGGAAAATAATACAATGATAATACAAGATATGAACCCTGTTCTGTGTACCCACAACTGTAAACCTACTTCTGCCCCACCTGGTATTCACAAGTCATAGATCTGCTAAGGGGGTTGAGTCCAGAATACATAAAGGATTCTTACAACTCTATGACAAAAAGATAAATAACGACTACAAACCCGGCAAAAGACTTGAATAGACGTTTCTCCAGAAAAGACAGGTAAGTAGCCAGTGAGCCCGTGAAAAGAGGCTCAGTGCCGTCAGTCAGTCGTTAGGGAAATTCAAATCAAAACCACAGTGAGATGTCACTTCACACCCACTAGGGCAGCCATTAAAACAACAACAACAACAACAACGAAAACACCTGAAAACAACACGAGTTGGTGAGGATGTGCCGAAACGGGAGCCCTGGCGCCTACCGCGTCGGTGGGAATGTGAAATGGTGCAGCCACTTTGCAAAGACGGTTCGGCACAGTTTCTGTAAATGTCACACATAGACCTACCGTGTATATAACCCACACGTCCACTGGTAGCTATAGATCCCAGAGAAAAGAAAACAAGGCCTACATTCACACAGAAACTTGTGTGTGTGTCCCTAGCAGCATTATTCATAGTTGCCAAAAAGGGGGCAGAGCCCAGGCGTCCATCAGCTGATGAAGGGACAAAATGTGACCCGTCCACGCAAGGAAAGGGCATGCAGCCAGAAAAGGAAAGCACTGACACGTGCTATACTATGAATACTAAGCGTATTCAGATGAAATAAGCAGGCACAAAAAGAGTGCATATTGTGTGTTTCCTTTGATAGGAAATGTCCAGAAAAGGCAGCCTCACTGAGACAGAGGGTGGGTGTGTGGTCGCCCAGGACTGGAGGGGGCAGCGAGGTGAGGTGGGGAGTGGGGAAGGATTTCTAACGGGCACAGGGTTTCTTTCTGGGGGGAGAGAATGTCCTTAAGTGATCATCCTGGCAGTCACACAGCTCTGTGAATATGCTGGGAACCACTCGAGTGAACATTTTAAGTGGACGGGGTACGTGGTGTAGGAACTGTATCCCGACAGAGCTGTTGAGGAAGTTTACAGGGAAACTGAAATATGGTAAACCGTGACTGCCAGGCTTTTACGAATGGACGTCCTGTTTTGCTTATCGTCTAAGAAACGCCAGCGCAAACGAACAGGCACCACGGGACTCCCGCGTGGGGAGAGCACCGGACTTTGGCTCTGACATCATCATCACTCTGAGCTGAGGCTGGCTCCCTGGCGGAGAAGCGTGCGGGCTCAGGTGTAATAACCCTGTGGCTGCTGGGCTGTTGTAGGCAGGTTCGGGGCCCCGGCCACTGCTAGGGACGCTGCAGGCCCACTCGAGACGCCGCCGCCAAGGACTGCACTCACCGCTTTAGAGGCTGACGGAGCGTTGCCCCTGTCTCTGGCTGATAGCCACGAGGGCTGCGGTGGCTCTTTTACAGACGTGGGAACTGAGTCCTCACTCAAAGGCCGGAACCCGGCAACACCGAGCCGGATGCCAGGCCTTCTGACGACAAGCCCAGTGACTACTTCATCGCCCACTTTCCAAAAAAAAAACCTTCTTCAGGTCACATCCTAGGGGCGCCTAACTTGCAGAAACTCGACTTCACGTGCTCAGCAAATCGGTGAGAGCGCTAAGTCACGAGATAGATGCTGCCGCACCTCATTTCATACGGTGACCACAGGGCCTGGAGGGAGCCCAGGACACAGGGCGCAAGTCTACCGTCCACTCATCTGCCATGCCCACGAGACTCATGGGTCTCTGGCTGGCGTAGCTCAGTGGATTGAGCTCGGGCTGCGAACCAAAGTGTTGCAGGTTCGATTCCCAGCCAAGGTGCATGCCTGGGTTGTAGGCCATAACCCCCAGCAACCGCACATTGATGTTTCTCTCTCTCTATCTCCCTCCCTTCCCTCTCTAAGAATGAATAAAGAAAATCTTTAAAAAAAAAAGACTCATGGGTCTAAAAATCCCCCCTAAAATGTGTTTTATTTTGTGGGTCATTTAAGGAATTCTTGAGGAATATTTGGACTCTACATGTTTGCTACCTTATGAGCTGACCCCGGAACCTAGCCCAGCAGTGAAACGACACTAACTACTCCACAGGAAGACTCCTCCCGGTGCGACTTCCTCCTCTGAGAGCCCCGGGATCTCTCGGTGTTTAGAGTCTAGGCGTGGATCTTGCTGGACATCGACTTAAACCCTTGTGGACAAATACCAGAAATAGCACGTTTCACTCTCTCTTACCCCCTCTACTTGCAGGATTTCTTTTTCGATTTTTTCAAGTAACTCCTTTCTCTGTGAGATCTCCTTTTTCAGACTGACGGACATGTCCATGGCTCGGTTTAGCCTGGTCTGGAATAGAACAGCACAGCAGGTCTTGAGCAAAGGGGGTCAGTCGGAATGATACAAAAGCTTGACGGCTCCTGATCGAGCAGGAGAAGAGCAGGGGCCTGCAGGAACTTGGGCCGGCCCTTCCCACAGCCACCCAGGGTTTCCAGAGCCTGGCGTCCAGGTGGTGAGGGACGAGAGAACCCCGGGAGTCTCATCCTCACCAGCAAGCAGAGTGGCCAGACCCCCGGGGCCCAAATCCCACCCAACACTTACTAAAAGAAACTTTGGGCAAGTTCTAGAACCTCCTTTTTTTTTTTTAAGATTTTATTTATATTTTAGAGAGGGGAGGGAGGGAGAAAGAGAGAGAGAAACATCAATGTTCGGTTGCTGGGGGTCATGGCCTGCAACCCAGGCATGTGCCCTGACTGGGAATCGAACCTACGACACTTTGGTTCGCAGCCCGAGCTCAATCCACTGAGCTACGCCAACCAGAGCTAGAACCTCCTTAAACGTGGTCTGGTCACCTCGTAGGCTTGTGGAGAAGTTCACCCCTGACTAAGTGTGCTGAGCACAGTGCCTGACACGTGCATGGGGAGCGCAGGGGAGGGGACTGATTCTTGGGGAGGCGAAGCGACTGGCCCAAGGTCAGACTGAGACGAGGAGGAGCCAGGACTGGCACGCAGGCAGCGTCCTCTCACAGTCCGCCAGCCCCGCCACTGTCCGCCAAGCGGACCTGGGCTTGGCCTGCTGCTGTTGGAGGGATCCTGCAGGACTGCCCCCGCCCAGCCCCGCTTCCTGGGGCGCTGTTTGCAGCCCCCACCCCACCCCAGGCCCATGCTTCTCAGAGTTGTCCCCTTTGAACTCCCACCTCCCAGGGGAAAAGAGTCACCCTGCAGGGGCTGGGATGTGCTCTGCTCCGATGAGAAGGGAACCAAGTGAGCCCAGGGAGCTCACTCAACAGACCCGGAGAACCCGGGGTGCCCAGCACTGGTCGGGGAGACCATGCAGGCGCCCCCTGCCCAGGGGGCAGCTCACCGGCCAGACAGAGGTGCAAGAAGACACATAAAACTGCCCCTGGGCCGAGCGCTAAGAACGCGAGGCCAGGGGTCACGAAGGTCCCCCTGGGGGAAGGGGTGATGGGAAGAGCTGAAAGGTCAAGTATGTCCAGGTGAAAGGGAAGAGAGGGCCATCCCAAGCCAAGGAGAGCCCGAAAGGAGCTGGGAGGGAGGCAGACGCTGGAGCAGAGCAGCCCCCAGGACTGGCTGGGGGGGAGGGGAAGGGGCAGGGCAGGACTTCACTGTAAACCAGCGGTTCAGAAGGGAAGGAAGGAGCCAGAGGGAAGACATTCCCCGATAGACAACCGACTGCGCAGCTCACCGTGGTTCTGCCTCCCTCCCCCCCAGGGCTCGCCGCGTCCCACGTACAGCAATGGGGCAGGAAAGAAGGGGCTGCAAGGAGCCGCTGGCTCTGGCGGGGCGGGGCGGGGCCTCCGAGAAGATGCGACTGGAGCTGTGTGTGATTCCGAGCAGGATGTCGGTGTGGCGTCTCGACGCAGTGCGACTGGATTCTCTGCCCAGGGGGCGTCCCACGATGCTAAAATCGAGGTAGCGGCCAGGGCTGTGGGTCTCATTGAGGGGTGCGGTCCTCTTCCAAGGTCTTGGGTTGCTGGCAGAAGGCATTTCCTTGGAGTCGCGAGACTTAGGTCCCTGTTTTCTTTCCGGCTGTCAGCAGGGGTGGCCCTCAGCCCCTCAAGGCCACCCTCAGGTCCCTTCCCCATGGCCCCTTCTCTCTCCTGGCCAGCAGCGGGGAACTTCTCGCCCAGCAAATCCCCTTCCTGCTTCAAATCTGCGACTTCCTCTTCCACAGAAAACTCTTTGCTTTCAGATTCATGTGATTAGCTCAGGCCCGCCCAGGTAATCTCCGTGTTGTAAGGTCCCCCGCGCTGTACAATATAATCTAATGACAGAACAGAACAGAATGCATCCCGTCCACAGCCCTGGGGACGGGGCAGGGAACGTAAACGGGGTGGGGGGGGGGGAATCTGGGGGAACATCTTAGAATTCTCCCTACCACAAGGCACCCCTAGTTCACGGTCAGTTACGAGTGGCATGGGGGGGTGAAGCGGGCAAAGGGGATCAAATACACAGTAACGACAGGAAACCAGACTTCGAGCGGTGAGCACACAACAGCGTATGTGGATGTTGAATTGCAATGCACACCTGAAATGGATAAGTTATTAACCAATGTTGCTCCAATAAACTTAATTAAAAACCCCAGTTAATTAATATCTACGAAACACTCTCAAATCATTCAGTCTATAAGTGTCTTTTAGAAAGTGACTCATGGAAGCGGTAGCCAAACGATGATCCCGTGCCAGACTCCGCCGCCCAGGGCTGCGGGCACAGGGTGGGAGAAAGAGGCGTCCCCGACCCCGTGACCGAGGCTCGCCCGCCGGACTCGCAGGAAAGAGGAGACCGTGCCTGCCTCCCTCCCAGCTGTCCCCTCCGCACTAACCCTGCGCCCGGCACACCGCCAGTCCTTGGCACACTTGGTAATACAGGAAGTTATTCTGCATGACTTTTAAAAATATATTTATTTACTTTTTTAGAGAGAGGGGAAGGGAGGAAGAAAGAGAGGAGAGAAACATTGATGTGCAAGAGATACATCAGTCAATTGTCTCTCCTCGGCCCCCAACTGGGGAACGCGGCCAGCAACCCAGGCACGTCAAACCAGCGACCTTTCGGGTCACAGGCCGGCACTCAGTCCCCTGAGCCACACCGGCCAGAGCTGCATGTTTTCAATAAGATCTCACACTTGGGTGTCTGATACTTGTATGTATATATCAGTAGTCCCTCCTGCGACCCACCCTCCCATCCCCTAAACACACACAGGAACCAATGACACAGGTCATTGGACAATAGCAGCCAAGCGCCTGCTTTGGCCAGACACTGTCCTTGGTGCTGGGGACCCGGCGCAGAGCAGCCAGAGCCCTGAGGCACGAGAATGCACCTCCCAGAGGCCAGGCATCCGCCCAGTGGAGCCCCCATTCAGACCAGGCCTGACTGTACAGCTCACCGCGGCTCTGCCTCCCTTTCCCCCAGGGCTCGCTGCGTGGCTCTTAGGGCTCCTGTGAACATCTCTATCACCTGCTTACCATTATTTGCAAGCACATTGGCTCCCGGGATTCAGACCGAAACGACTCCTGTTCCACCCACTGCGGCCTGCGTCCCTGCTGCTCAGGTGCTGCAAACAGCCTGTGCTGGAGAGTTCAGGCCCCGAGTCCTGGCTGTTTCATTTTGTAAACCAGTAGCTCCACTCCAAACCCCTGGCCTTTCCCCCACAAGATCAGACAGGCCCTGAGCTGATTCTGCAGGATAACATCATGGTCTCCAATGTGCAAGGTAACCTCACGCAGCCCAGCCCTGCGGCCAGCACGGGCCTGGGAATGAGGAGGACTGGCTTTCTCTCGAAACAACAGAGGTCAGATAAGCTAACCACTGACGAGCTAAGTTCCAAATGGACGATCCGCTGGGTGTTTGGCCACGCGGATTTCAGGATGCCAGCACAGCACTGTCCCCCCACACTTTGTGCCGGGAGAAGACAACCAGGTCCGGTGGGACACAGGCTGGACTGGGACTCCGTCCGAGCTCTGTCACAAACTTGTGTTTGAATCCGGCAATGCCTCTGCCTCTCTGGGCCTCCGGTTTTTCACTTGTAAAGGGAAAATACTGGACAAACATTAGCCTCGACTTCACACATTCAAACCCACGGTTTCAAATGACGCCGTGTGCACCAACTCAAGCCCATCTGTAAGCCACCGATGGCTGTAGCCACTGCCGCCACCCGGGCCCCAGCCAGGGGGCAGCAAGCCTGCTCTGTGGGAGGCCAGACAGACAGCAGACATGTCAGGCTCTGCAGGCCAGGAGGCAAAACTGAGGCTATGGTGTAGTGACTTACATGGACAAGAGAAAAAAAAAAACAAATTTCCGCAAAGGTTTTGTTGATCAAATTTCAACTATAATGATTAAGTTCAATATTTTGGACTACAGGTGTACTGAGAAGAACAGAATTTCTGGGGGAGAAACCGGTTTTGCTCAGTTGGGTTGCGAAGGTAGTGTTCTCTATCACGCAGGTTGCAAATGTTCTGTGAAAACCATTCTCAGCTCCCCGGCTGGTGGGCAGGACACACACCGGCCAGATTCGCTGGCCACTGCGTCAGCCCGGTGCCAGCCGGGCAATCGGATGGGCTGGTCTGCTGGCGACAGGCCCTGTTCGTGCCTGTGGTCCTCCTTCGTTACTAATAGTGCCTCTTTTTCTCCAAAACGTGTTCTGTGCACACGAGGAACTATGTAGTCGTTTCCTGATTTATAGCTAAGACGGTTTTCCTTTGCAGGGTTTTAAGCCGGGAAGTGCATAGTATATACCCACATAAAACAGGGCCCTAAAGGTGGTAGTTCTCAAAACCCACTGGGCATAAAAATCATCTGGGGAGTTTTTAAAAAAAAAGATTCATGGCCCTCACACCCTAATTCAATTGGTCAGGGCGAGACTAGGATGTCCTTGCAGCTTTTTAAAAAGTAAAAGCCCCCCCCCCCAGGTGGTTCTAACGTGCAGCTGGGGTTGTGGGAACGTTCCAAGTGTTTCAGGAGACGTGGGTCTCACACGAGAACTCGGGGAACGGTGGGAGGGCGCAGGGCGTCTAAGCCCTTGTGGGAACCTCACTGTGGCCGGGATGGTGGGGGCGGGAAGCCCCCCGGGGACCTGGGCATCGGGGAGGACCTTACTTTGTAGGAGTTGAGGACCTGCTGGGTGGTTCCAGATGACAGCTTGAGCTGGATCAGCTCTTGATTCCTCGTGTCAATCGTCTCTAAAAACTGAGCATTCTCTATCTTCAGCTGCTGAAAGTCGACGTCGTGGAGGGCGTCACCCACCTCCTCCTTCTAGGGCTCGGGAATAGGAGAGAAATGATATGAGGCTGTGACTTCACAGGCTGTGGGAGCCGCTCCCACCCTGCCACTCCAGTTGACCTCTGGGGAGTCAGGCATCATTCGGTCACTCAGCACACACGGGTTGTGGATCTGCTGGGTGCCAGGCCCCGGGGACAGAGATTTGAGTGAACGGGACACTCCCTGGCCCCAAGGAGCACCCAAGCGATGAGGGTTCACAGGGCTCCAGGTGGGGCTGCTCAGAACAGACTGGAGCGGGAGCGCCCCTTCCTTGGTGGGGCGCAGTGGTCCTCTGAGCGCAGCTGCGGCCCCAGCATCGCCTACCCCGAGCCGACTTGAGCAGGTCCCCTACGACTAAGCCACATGGTGCCTGTGCCTACGCGGCGGAATCAGATCAGGGGATCTTACAACTGTCCCTAGTCACTTTCTGTTGTTAAAGCTGTCCCTGCTTGTTGAGCCTTTTGAGATCCCAAGTCAACCAAGCAATAGTGTCCCTGGACACGTGCCCTCAAGTGCCCAAGTTCAAGCTAGTAACAAAAACTCAGAGCTAGGAGAGGGTGGGCACATTCTGGAGACCCTCCGTGTCTGCTTCTCTGCCTTCCGCCGAGAGCCGTCAGGGCCAGCTGTTCAAAGACTCACCGGAAACACTGCCACTGTGCCACCCAGGCCACGTCCCCCATAGCAATCAGCAGGTACGACGGGAGGGGCTTTAAATTCCAGCCAATCCGCCTGCAGGATTGCCAGCTCAGTAACTGCACTGCTTTCCTACGGCTGCCGTGACAAACCACCGCACACGCAGCGGCTTATAAAACAGCACGAATCTGTGGTCTTATCGCTCAGGAGGTCAAAGCCTGCAGTCGTGCTTTGGACGAAAATCGGGGTGTGGCCAGGGCTGCATTCCTTCCGCAGGCTCTAAGGAGACTCTGCTTCCGTGGCGTTGGCAAGCTCCCACAGGCTGCCTGGGTTCCTCGGTTCGTGACACCTTCCTCTGCCTCAACGGCACGTCACTCTGAGCTCTGCCTCTGTTATCACACTTTCCCTCTCAGCTCCTGCCCGCCTCCGAAGGGCCCATGGCCACCCTGAACCCGCTCGGAGGGTCCGAGAGTATCCCTGTCTCCAGATCCTCGACCGAGTCACAGCTGCAAGATCCTTTTGCCGTGTGCGGCGACGTGTTCAGGTCCCAGAAACTGGGACACAGGTGTCTTCGGGTTGGACACCGCCCCGTCTATAGCGGTGAACTCAAAAAAAGAAAAAGCCACGTACCTGCCTCAATTGTAAAAGCATCTTTTTCCTCTGGACTTTGAGAGAAACGTTTTTCAAACATAATTTCTCCTTCAGGTGGTCCTAAAAATAAAAGTGAATTTTAATCCACTTCTCCTCTTCTTCCCTGTTGGTTTGAAAAGCTGGTAAGTCTGTGACTACAAACCAAACCTTGAGCCCTGACAATCAGTCACTTATTTTAAGGGTGTTGTTGTTGTTTTTTATTTTTTTACATCTACCCGGGCTGGTGCTGTTGTAACATTTCATTCGTGATCAAGAAGCACAGCAAGCATCTGCTCCATGCAAAAGTTCTATGGCTTGTAAATTCAAGATAATTTGGGTACAGGGGCCTTTCCTGACAAAAGGATCTTATGATTCTTTGGTCTTTTGTTCTCTTGGGAGTTTATTTAGTTTTTATGACCTATAACATCTGAGGGTTAGTAAGCCTACCTATCTCCAGGGTCCAAAACTTGATATACTGCAAAATCTTTGGAAGTGAAGGAGTATTTTATGCCTCATTCTTTTTTTTGTTTGTTTGCTTTTTAAACAAGTTTTTTAAAATATTTTATTTATTTACTTTTAGACAGAAGGGAAGGGAGGGAGAAAGAGGGGGGAGAAAAACACCAGTGTGTGGTTGCTGCCCACAACCGAGGCATGTGCCCTGACTGGGAATTGAACCAGCGGTCCTTTGGCTCCCAAACTGGTGCTCAGTCCACTGAGCCACACCAGCCAGGGCATCATTCTTATAATAATAATGGAACTCAAAGAGCTTGAGATGTACCTGTCCCACGCCACATAGTCACCTGACTAGATAGGTTCACACACAAACATATCAGATCTTGAAACAAATAGCAACAATAAAAAAGAAGTCATCTACCTGATATACTATTGGTGTTCGGCCTGCCTGGTTGATTTTAGCCTTGATGAACTTGCATTTTGAGACACACGCACAGCCCTGGCTGCCATGGCCCAGTGGATTGAGTGGTGGCCTCACCGGTTCAATTCCCAGTCAGGGCACATGCCTGGGTTGTAGGCTGGGTCCCCAGTTGGGGGTGATGAGAGGCAACCGATTGATGTGTCTTCCCTATCAATATTTCTCTCCCTCCCTCCCTTCCCATCGCTCTAACATAAATAAATAAAATCTTTTTTTTTAAAAAAAGCCGCACACTTTGGGAGATGTTAAAACTCCGCCTGAGTACGCGGCATTGTCGGTGGGCCGGCTAGAGTGGGGGCCGCCTCCCGCGGGGCAGCCTCCCGTGGGTCCCCTCCGGGTCGTCGCTCCAAGACTGTCTTCTCCCTCCCTAAGCCCTGACCTCCTGTCGACTCACCCTCCGGCGGTTCATGTCCTCAAAGTACTTCATCACTTTCTGAGTGGCCAAAATACTCCCTTTCTTCTTGGATATGGTTTTCAGGATGTCTTTTTCAAACTCATGCACTTCTTTCTGGATGTCGGCCCACCGGATTTCAGCTTCCTCGATGATAGCCTGGAGGGGTCAGCACAGAGGGACAGCGGCTTCCGAAAACTCTCAGGGACTTAACCCTGCAAGGAAACCTCCGTTCTCAGGCCTCTTTGTGTCTCAGTACATAACGTTTCTTCTTAGTCCTAGAAATACATCCTGAAGATACAGATTTGACTATATGAATGTTATTATTTCAAAGCAGCCCTTGAGAAAGTTAATAGTTTCCATAAAAAGGGGGGGGCAAACAAAAACAGAGCCTCGGGGATCATTATAAACATGTATTTTCATGTCTGGAGGATTAATTATCCATTAACAATGATAAATATAGTATAATGTAATACAATGTAATGGAAAAATGTCCGGAAGGATATACACCAGCGCATTAACCACAGTCACATCAGGGGAGATGGATTAGCAGGGAGACAAAGAAGCACTCCTAGTATATACTCCTGTAATTTGAAAAAAAAATGTTATAAATGAATCTATGTAGGGACATGAAAAGACACTATTAAATGAAAATACAGTTGATCAGATGATACCTTTTTATAAAGAAGTTCACATATGCATATGAACATGTGTTTTCAAATGTGCTTCTCCTAGCCTACCTGTGTATGTAAATTTTGCTGCAGCACACAGAGATCATCTTTAAGTAAGGACGCACAGAAGCACACATTACTTTAAAGGATAAAATGAGAAGTCAGCCGCAGCTGCAGAGCAAATCCTCACGCACGGAGGGGCAGAAGAGCCTTCCTTCGCTGGCAGGCCTCCGACCCTGGGCCCTCCCCTCCTCACACAGAGACGACGCATGTGCTTCTGTGTGTGCCCCCTTTCGAGATGGAGCAGAAACACACACTGTTTGTACGGCATGGCTCTCAAACGCCAGCCAACAGCCTCGTGCCGTGGGCAACCTCCTTCCCAGCGATGCCTCTCTCCTGGAGGAACGCTGACCCGGTCTGTCTCCAATGAGACGTGGCCCACCGTCGGGCGCGTGGAGGGTGTCTTGGGGGCTTTTCCACCGACTGGCGGACTTAAACCTCAAACTCCTTGTATTATTAAGAAATGATTACGCATTTTTAAGTACATAAGGCTTCACTGCACTAGCCTCTCTCCATTCGTATATTTTTGGAATTTTCCTTTTCGAAACGTTGAAAGTGTGGTGTCTCCTCAAACAGGCGGTCAGTTCCTTAAAGGTAGGCCCTCAGTGTGTCTTACTCCACTTGTATTTCTTTTCAAAGTACCAGCAGTTAGGGGGACACACCATGGGTACTTCCCAGCAGGGTGGAAGCGGGCAGCCCACAAGGGGTGTCCCGCGGAGACAGAGGTTTACCTCGTGATACTGCAGGTCCCGCTCGGCGTTGGCCCGCAGGTGCCGTATTTCGTCCTTCATGTCCTCCAGCTCCCTCTGCACAAGCTCGCATTTTTGGTCCACGCTGAGGCACGCTGTACGTTCAATAGCTGGGTGCGATTTGGATCTATGCCTGCTTCGCATCTACGACTCAAGAGAAACAAAGCCTCTGTCAGGTAGGAGCTGGTGATGAAGCAGCCCGAGGTGGCCATGGAAATGACCTCTTGGACCTGCTGGAAATCCGTGGAATGACAGCCGGAGAAAACATATTCCATGTGAAAGGATTAGGATGTTAAGTCTGGTTGACATCTATCTCACTGGTCAACCTAAGATCTGAGCGAAATACTTCAAAGGCCTATGCTTGATGAGGAGCTAAAAATAAATAAAGGAAAGTGTCTCAAGGTTGGAGAGACCGTGAGCCTGCTATGGACGAGCATGCACGTCGGTGTCAGGGGAAGTCAGGAGCTCATGGCTTCCCGAACTGAACGCGGGAGAGAAATGGCCTCTGCGGGTACGGCGTTTGTCCAAAACAAACAGACAGACACAATGTTTGGATTTCCTACGCATTTAAGCCACAGGTCCTAAGCAGGTGGCCTAGGAAATCTGTGGACCTCATGATGGGGTCGTCAGGGCCCTCAAAAGCCAGGCTTACGTACAATTTTAAATTTAAAAAATACCCACCAAAATAGCTCAGATTTCCAGCTTCTCTAGAAAAATCAACTACTCTGGCAACATCAGGCCGCCTGGCTGGCCCTTTTAAACGAGGAAGGAACTTTCCGGTGTGCACACCAGGCCCCTTCGCCTTTTCATGTGGCTGGCTGGGCCTTGTAAACAGTCTCCCAGTTGAGGGCATCATTTCAAACACACTAAGATATTCTGGGAGAGTCAATCCACTATTCAATGAACGTGATTCCCTTTACACTGACTTGAAAGAGAAACCTTGAAGGGGAAGGAAGAATCAAAATAAGAACAGAGTCAAAGCCACAGGTCACTTGGCCGAAGAAGGCACACCAAAGGCAGATACACAAACACCACCTGCATCGAAAGGGACAAAGAGAAGAAAACAATTCTCAAATCTCCGCTGCGTACCTGCGCAAAGTCTGTTCCCGGTCTTTTAATTTCAGATAATCGTAGAGGTCGCTGCTCCTTGGATTCCAGTCTATTGTAATATTTCTCAAACATCTCTGTCTCAGTTTTGAGAGCCGAGTTTCCATAGCTGTAAGACAGAGGATACCTGAGTAACTTCTATTAAAAGGAGTTTAGCCCTGGCTGGTGTAGCTCAGTGGATTGAGCATGGGCTGCGAACCAAATGGTCGCCAGTTCGATTCCCAGTCAAGGCACATGCCTGGGTTGCAGGCTAGGTCCCCTGTTGGGCCACGAGAGAGGCATACACACGCTGATGTTTCTCTCCCTCTCCTTCTCCCTCTCCCCTCTCTAAAAATAAATAAGAAAATATAAAAAATAAAAGTAAAAGGAGTTTAAACACCAAGTAAGTAGTATTGAACACTTATTAGCTGTGTATGACCTTCTGCAAGATACTCAACATTTTGGTGCCTCAGTTTCCTCATCTGTAAAATGGGTAACCGCGCCTATCTTTTAGGGTTGTGGTAAGGAATACAAAGCCTTCAGGACAGTGCCTGGCACATAGTAGGTGCTATATAAGTATTTGATCTATTTTTTAAATACATCTAATGAGCTGCAAAATCCAAAGCACTGGTATTACATTGAAAACTGCAGCTGAGATGAGGCTACAAGTTTCATCTTCAAGTATCTTCTCCAGGGGTGTCCCACCTTTTGGCATCTCTGAGCCACACTGGAAGAAGGGTCATCTTGGCCACACATTAAATACCTTGCCACATGTGATCACAGAACAAATCTCACAATGTTTCAAGTAAATTTATGATTTTGTGTTGGGCCGCATTCACAGCCATCCTGGGCTTCACGCGGCCTTTGGGCCACAGACTGGACACCCCTGGATTATTAATATTATGATTAATCATAACCTAACCCATGGTGAAATCCTTTCAAATTACTATATTCTTGAAGTCCCACACATCCATAATCTTCAGATGTTTCCTTTGGTTTATGTTTCTCAGGTTTTTTAATTTCCAGCAACCAACAGATGAAATATCCTCTGGAATTTTATTTTAAATGGCAGAGAAGATTTGAACAGATGGTTTTTAGTGTTGGGTTTTTTTTTTACGATTTTATTTATTTATTTTTAGACAGGGGAAGGGAGGGGGAATGAGAAAAAGAGAAACATCAATGTGTGGTTGCCTCTCACGGGTCCCCCACTGGGGACCTGGCCCACAACCCAGGCCCACAACCCTGGCTGGGAATCAAACCAGCGACCCTTTAGTTCATAGGCCAGCACTCAATCCAGTGAACCACACCAGCCAGGGCTTGAATAGATGGTTTTTAAACAACTGGGATGACAAACCTAGTTTATCCTATATATGCCAAGATTGTGACTCTTTAACTTCTTCACTTCACATATACATATATGTAGTATGCAAACTTGTAGCACATGTGTATGCATATGTTTACATAAGAGAGAGAACAGCTTTGGTATTTTCATACGTTCTTGGGTCAATTCCTGTTTAACTTAATCTTAAGACAAGTGGAAAAGGCCCAATGGGCCCTGGCTGGCATAGCTCAGTGGATTGAGCTCGGGTGCGAACCAAAGTATCGCAGGTTCAATTCCCAGTCAGGGCACATGCCTGGGTTGCAGGCCATGGCCCTCAGCAACCGCACATTGATGTTTCTCTCTCTCTCTCTCTTTCTCCCTCCCTTCCCTCTCTAAAAAAAAAAAAAGAAAAAAAAAGCCACTCTCAATTGTTAAAAAAAAAGAAAAGAAAAGGCTCAATGGAAAGCCCAATAAGTCAAAGTCCCTTTCTTGTTCAGCCTATGCCATGTCCCCACTGCAGGCAGTGGGGTGGCACCCGAGTCTGAACCCCGGCACTGCCACCAACTGGCTGTGTGACCTTTGAGCAGTGACTTAACCCATGCATCTTTGTTTCCTCATCCACCTCCTAGAGTTACTGTGCCATTATATAAAGTCACATATGCAAAATACTTGGCACATAATAAGCACTCAAAAAAGCAGGAGCTGTTAGTAATCATACCTCAGTGCTGACCTGAACTAGTTACAGACTCGGGCAGAACGTCCATGCGGTCACAGCTGCGATGTTCTGTGTGAGACCAGTAAGTTGTACAAGTGCCCCAACTACGTCATGGAATCTTGATACCCAATTTACCTTCTATGGTAGGTGTAAAACAGACTGCTAAAAATACGGAGTACTGGGCCAGTCATTCTTGGCTGTCCATTTCCATGCTTATACACTGGTTCAGTCATAAATTGTCTCCTACTAAAAATATCTCAGCTGCCACCTTAATTTTATCATAGATTCCTAGCACTCACTGGAAAGGGCCTTAGAGGTCACCTGCTCCAACCTGCTGCCGCAGAGCAGAGCAACGGCTAAGCGCCCAGTTTGGCACCTGGGAGACCCACTAGGCTGAAGCTCCAGCTACACCAGTTACCCTCTGGGCTTCCCACCACCGGCCCCAAGCCATCACTCCTCCGTATTGTCCTGGCTCCAACAACGGCTTGTTGGCTCAGTGGTGGCGGACACACAGGAATATAGGGCAAAGGCATGTGCTTTTCCCACTGTGTGGGGTCTCAAGTTTCCCCAGGGTTCAATGAGGACTTGATCGTCTCCAGGCTGCACCAAGGTTCGAGTCCAAACAGTGCGTGAGTAGGGGCCGCCCCGCTCAGCCAGCAGGCCGGTACCTGAGCTCTTCCACCAGCCCGCACAGCTGGATAACAGGCAGCTCCGCCGCGACCTGCAGCTCGCTGGCAAACGCCTCTGAGTCCTCTTCAGCCATCCCTCTAACAAAGCCGCCTTTACCAACGCCGAGTGCGGCCGAGCGCGCTGGGTGCGATCAGCCACGCGTCCGGTTCGGCTGCGATCTCGCAGTGCCGTTGCCCGGCGACCAAATGCAAATATTGGGGGCGTGACTTCTGGAGGCCCCGCCCATCTCCGCGCAGACCAGGGTGAGGTCGTTGTCCATAACCAGGCACCTAAGTGCGTTCGCTTTTACTTCTTCAACAATAATCTTAATAATAGTAATAGCAACTACTGTTTATTCAGCACTTACTATGCCCCTGGCACCGTGTTAAGCATAGTTTAGAAATACCTGGCAACAGCTTTGCAGTAAATACCCATTACTCTCTTTATTTTCCAAACGAGGAAACTGAGACCCAGAAAGTGAATTCGATTTGTTGGAGTGTATTCCTTCCCCCACCTCACTGGGAGGCCTGTATTCTGCTCACCACCTGGTGCTTCATTCACACTAACTTCACTTCCTCTTAGATACTAGTATCCTGCTTTCCTGAAAGGAAAAAAAAAACTGGCTGATTATTAACTGGGTATAAATTCGATAGGCATCTCTAATCAGGCACTGGGTGCATCCCGAGCATCCTGGCAGAACGTACGGAGCGCGGACCACCCAGCCCTCAAAGAGTTTCCGGTTAAGGGAGGGGAACCGCCCCTAAATCAGCGCATGCGACCTGGAGTGACGACAGCAACAAGTTTGTGCCTCACACCGATTCGTAGTTACCATCTCACTTCATCCTCAAAAGTCTTACGACATTGCTATTATTGTCTTCGTCTTGCAGATCAGGAAACTGAGAAAGAGATACTTAGAGGACTCAAGCTCTAATGGGACCCCCAAGTCCATGCTGCTATGACTTCCGCACGCATGTGTGCATGGCAAAGACGGGTGAGGCGGCAGGGTAGGTTACTATCTGCTCCCATTGGGATGGAAGAGGGCAGCATGGGCAAATGTCTCTGGGGGTGGGTGGATGCTGGATATGGTTAGAAAGCAAGCTGTGCCCTGGCTGGTGTGGCTCAGTGGATTGAGCGCCTGCCTGCGAACCAAAGGGTGGCAGGTTCAATTCCACGACCTGGCACGTGCCTGGGTTGTGGGGGGGGGGGGGGGTGCCCAGTTAAGGACAACAGGAGGCAACCAGTCGATGTTTCTCTCCCTCTTTCTTCCTCCCTTCTCCTCTCTCTGAAAATAAATACATAAAATCGAAAGAAAGAGCGAGCAAGCTGTGATAAACTGCTTAGGATGAGGGTCAGCCACCTTCTCCCACAAGGAAAATGTAGTCACTAAAACTCTAAAGGACTTCTGTCTTGCTGCTTAGGGGCACAAGTTTGGGGCCACTGTGCATTTCTGCAGATGACAGCAGAGAGGTTGAGCCCTGCCACCACCTTCTCTTCGGGCTCTGGAAGCAACGCGGACCACATTTAGAAATACTTCACGTGCTGGCAGAGCAGGAGATGCAAATGGATGCCAGCCCCAGGAGGGCCGGGCCAAGGAAAGGGGCCTGCGGCGCCAGCGTCCCTGCCCAGGGGCTATGTCGTACAGCGGGTCCAGTGGTGCTGGCAGTATCGGCGGTGGGGGAAGCAAGCGGCATGAAGATTTAGGACAGATGCATTGGGGAAATCACGATGCAATACCCGGAACTTTGGGAAAAGACCATGCAGCCCACAGCAGGAAATTCCGTGCCTTTTGAGAAACAGCTCCTGGCCATCGGTTTGGCAGCTGCCCATTGTAGATGAAGACGTGAAAAACTGACTCGGCTTGCAAGCTTTAAATAATAATAATGACAGTTGCCATTGTTACTTCTTAATACGTGTTTATTACCAATTAGGTGCGATTATTGCTTAATAAAAACACTTATAACAAGTATTGTTCCAGTTACTGTTACTGAATGCTAGCTCCATGCCAGGGCCTGTGCTCAGCACGCTCCACCCATCATCGCCTTGCAGCAGCGTGATGGTCCTGCGAGATACAGGTGCCTCCTCAACCCCCACTTCACCCAGGAGGTGAAGACTGAGCTTCAGAGAAGTTTGGCAGCTTTCTCAAGGTCACGTAGCTTTGCTGGGTGGGGCTGACAGGCAAACCCAGGTTCATCCCTTTGCGCTCTTTCTTCTCATCTTACCCGCCCTGTTAGGGCAGTGGTTGGGAGGCAGGGGTGGTAGGTCAGCGACTATTTTGCCCTCCCAGGAGACATCTGACAGTACCTGGAGGCATTTTTGTTTGTGTTTACTGAGGCGGTGCTGTTGTCATCTAGAGGCTAGAGGGTAGAGGCCAGAGAGATGGCGCTGGTATTAGTTTTCCCATACTGATGTAACCAATAACCACCAGCAGAGGGGCTTGAAACCACAGAAATGTATCGTCTCGCAATTCTGGGGGCTAGAAATCCAAAAACAAGGTGTTGGCAAGGCCACACTCCCTCTGAAGTCTCTAAGGGAGAATACTTCCCAGCCTCCCGTAGCTTCTGGCAATCCTTGGCGTTTCTTGACTTGCAGCCGTATCACTCCATCTTCACCTGGCCTTCTTCCTTGTGCCTTGTGTGTCCTCTCCTCTTCTAATAAGGACAGAACGCATGTGATTCAACCCTGACCGGTGTGGCTCCGTGGGTTGGGCATCCTCCCACAAACCAAAAGGCCGCCAATTTGATTCCTGGTCAGGGCACATGCCTGGCGTGCCAGGTCCCCGGTTGGGGGTGTGCGAGAGGCAACTGATCAGTGTTTCTCTCCCTCTCTTTCTCCCTCTCTTTCTCCCTCTCTTCATCTCTTTAAAAATAAATAAATAGCCCTGGCTGGCGTAGTTCAGTGGATTGAGCGTGGGCTTCCAACCAAAGCATTGCAGGTTTGATTCCCAGTCAGGGCACATGCCTGGGTTGCAGGCCATGACCCCCAGCAACCGCACATTGATGTTTTTTTTCTCTCTCTCTTTCTCCCTCCCTTCCCTCTCTAAAAATAAATACATAAAATCTTAATAAATAAATAAATATTTTTTAAGTCATTTGATTCAAGGCCAACCCTAAATCCAACATGATTCCATCTCAAGATCTTGAATTGCATCTGCAAAGATCCTTATTTCCAACGAGGTCACGTTCTGAGGTTCCAGGTGGACGTGAATTTCGGGAGGGGGGCCCTATTCAACCCACTACGCTACTAAACGCCCTTCCATGCACAGGACAGCCCCCACCACAAAGAACGAACTGGCCCCGAATGTCAACAGTGCTGCGCTTGGGAAGCTCTGCTTTAGAGGGAAGCATCTCTGCTCCGGGAAGCAATGAGCACACGCCTGTGCTAACCCAGGCAGTTACAAACAGAAAGCGTCTCAGAGCAGCCTGAAGTCCAGAGCCTACCCTCACCTCCACTTTTCCAGGACCACTTCTTCTGACAGCCTCTACCACCTCCATGTGGCTGCTGCCCCCTGCCTAGCCTTTTTGTAGCACTCTGCATTTTGCCTTCAGAATGATTCGGTCAGACCCACCTGAAGTATTGAGCTTCACCCATTAATAAGAAGTGCCTGGTCTTTTCTTCCCCCAAGTGGCTATTTGCATGTTACAGGAAAGAGACCAGCCCTGTGAGGTGGACCTCCACCTGATGGCTGCCAGAGCACTTCCTCTATTTTTTCAATAACTACATTGAGTGCCCGCTCTGAACTTGGCCCTGGGGCTGCACCGAGAGCAGCAAGGCTTGTGTGCCTGCTTACAGGGAGCCTGCAGTCTGACGTGAAGAATTATATTGGCATGGGCAGATTTCAAGGAGCCGTGAAAAGCTGAATCGGGTGAGCTGTAAGCCAAGATTTAAAGACTGAGTAGGATTCAAATCCAGGTGAGTCAGACTCATCACTCCAAACTCAACCACGAGCCTAGCCCCGAAGCAAAGACCAAGGGAAGAGCAGGACTGGGAGAGGAGGGTGCTTGTGCAGAGGCCCTGAGGGCAGAGCCAGCCTGTTTGGGGGACTGAAGGAAGGTCGGTTCATGATTCACCCCAAAGCAGAGAAGCTCACTACCAACCTCCACCTCCTGGGTTTCCTCCGTGTCCTCTGGAGGCTCCCTTGGACCCCATTTCTAACGTGAGTTTTCTGGGTGCTTTCTCTCGATGTCCGTGTCCAACCCAACTTCCTCCTTCTCAGTTTCAGGGCACCGAAATCTTCGGATGCTCAAGTCCCCCGTATAAAATGAGACAGTATTTGCATGTAGCCCACACACTTCCTCCGTGTACTTTAAAATTTTTTAAAATTGTATTTATTTGTCTTTAAAGGGGAAGGGAAGGAGAGAGGGAGAGAAACATCAATGTATGGTTGCCTCTCATGCGCCGCCCTATGGGAACTGGCCCGCAACCCAGGCATGTACCCTGACTGGGATTCAAACTGCAACCCCTTGAAGACCTGTGCTCAATCCACTGAGCTACACCAGCCAGGGCCTCCCACATACTTTAAATCGTCTCTAGACCACTTACAATACTTAATACAATGTCTATGCTTTGCAAACAGTTGTAATACTGGGTTATACTGTATTGTTTAGGCAATCATGGTGAGGAACAATGTCTGTGTGTGTTCAGGGCAGAGGTAACCATAGTAGGCCAAATTATATAGCACATGTCAGCAACAACGTAACATTTTTTTCAAATAATTTTTTAAAGACTTTATTTATTTATTTTTAGACAGAGAGGAAGGGAGGGAGAAAGAGAGGGAAAGAAATATCAATGTGTGATTGCCTCTTGTGCGCCCCTTACTGGGGACCCGGCCCGCAACCCATGCATGTGCCCTGATGGGAACTGAACCACCGATCCTTTGGGTCACAGGCTGGCGCTCAATCCACTGAGCCACACCAGCCAGGGCTTTTTCAAATAATTTTGATCTGCAGTTGGATGAATCCCTGGATGCAGAACCTACAGCTACAGGGGGCTGACTGTATTTCATTGCGTTTATTCACTGTTCTTGGATGAGCTTTTGGGGCATTTCCAGTATGAGGGTATTGTTGTAATACGTGCTGCTAAGAACATTCTAGTATATGTCTTCTGGTGAACCTATGTACACACTTCTG